AGAGCGTGCAAGCCGAGTACGTTCAGCTACGTAGTGCTCCGAATTCAGTTGATAAATATACTGACGATCAGCTACTGCCTTACGCAGGTGATACTAGCCAGTGCGTTTGCGGGAGAAATCGGGTTCATCTGATTTGGGGTGACCCTGGCACTCGAAAGCAACTTTTCACCATCCTTTGCTGTGGCGCTGGTAGCCGCGGTAGCCACTGGCGGACGATGAACTTGAGTACCAGTCATCACGCTGATAGTAGGAAGACGAAGAGGCCTGCGCGCGAGGGCGGAGTGTATCGTCCTTTGATGAACCCTTTCCTTTGGGCTGAGCTTTGCCCTTGCCCTTCGGCTCACCTTTAGACTTTGGTGGTGGTGCCGGGGAGTCATACTTTGGTTGCGCCGCTCGAGAGCGTTCCGCATCTCGCGCAGCATCTTGTGCTGCTTTTGCGGCAGCCGGCAATTCGTCTTTGACGATATCACTGAGCCTCTCAACCATGTCTTGTTCATCACGAACGTCACGGAATGAGAGTGTGCCCTGAGAGCTAAGCTCGCCACCGGCTGTGGTTGCACGACGAGCATGGATGAGCGAAGAACACCTTTTTCGCGGAGACAATTCTTTTGCCCATCTTTCATTGATGATGACACAATGCTTCCTCGCGCTCCTACCAAGGAGGAGTGTATGGCATGGGCAAAAGGCGATGAAAGGAAGAGATATCAGGTTGAGCGAGAAAAATGGATGCATGACCACTGGTACGAAGTCACCCAATCTTCTATCCTGTTTCGCGACAATCTTGATCACTGCTATGAGGTGATCCGTACGCATGCAATGCTTTGGGAGATTTACCTGTGGGCGTACACCACCATGAACGTGAATGAGTTTCTCATGCCTTTCATCGCAGTTAATTCCGATGGCGTGAGAACAATTCGACCGAACAAAGGTGAGGGCCATAGAGGATTGATTGGTTCACGACTTCGCCTACTTTACTCGAACGCACTAGGGATCAAGACGTTCCGCTATGCGGCGTACAAGAACATGCCAAGTCAGGTTGTCAAAGATGGTGTCTATCACATTTGCATCGCAGGATTCCTTGAGGCCCTGCAAAAGCGTGATCGACTTAACCCTGAGGCACTGTACATTTGCCAGCACATGGGCGTGCGGTTCAACAAGAAGTACAAGACTCGTTACACAAGGGTCATCGTGAACACCGTCAATGGCCAGCTCACCGACCGAAAGAAGTAAGAGAATGTGGAGGAGTGGAAGAACAATGCCAGGACCGCTTTGTTTCAGACTGGATTGGAAATGCTCAAAGACCAGGCCGAAGCTGGCGTTCGTTACAATCAATCGTTTGAGCCCTCTGCGTCCTCAGATGATGCTACGAACAAATGAGGCGGCCGTGAAGCCACTATGCTCTATGCTCGAGTCTCATCGCCATCTTGGTGTGACAGAGGCTGAATTTTGCACCTAGGGTTAGTCCCAGTGCCGTGTGAGCGTTGCATATGTGTTTTCACCATGGTCGCCCAGGGTTAGACGCGGCGAGATGTCTCACGGTCTCACAGCTCATCTGTGATAGTTACTTTCTTGTGTATGTGTTGCATAAAAGCCCGGAGCTCCTGTTTGCGTCTCACACAATGAATTGTTCATTGACGTGGCGGGTGTGAATTCCTATGCATATGCCTAACCCACTGGCATGCGTGATTCGTTATGATAAGCAAAAGGACTGCAGCATGAACGATATCATCATAGTTGGGTATCTTGAGGATAAATCTGCCTCGGCTTCTGTGTCAAATGATGAGTCCGAAGGTGAAGACATTACAAGCACACATGACCAGGATGGTCATCAGTGCATCATGGACACGGGATGTGGATTAGATCTGATATCTAGGGCTAAGGTTGAGGACCACAAGCTCCGAAGATTCAAGGCGAAGACCCCCATCCAATTCCAGACTGCTAATGGTAATACCAAAGGTATGGAAGTCGTGACCATGAACATTGTTGAGTTCGAAGAGAGCGTTGAACCATATGTCCTTCCTCACACACCCTCTGTTCTTTCGATAGGCAGAAGATGCATGCATGAAGGTTACCACTTCATTTGGCTCTCGAACAAACATCCTTGCATGATCTTCCCGAGTGGGAAGCTTTTCGCGCTTGCCGTCGAGGACGACATACCCTATCATATTTCTGGTGATCCTAGATGTCAACCTGTTGATCTTACGCGTGAGATGTCAATACCTTGTCTGCTAGAACACATGAAAGAAGTGGCAGGTTTAAACCCCCAGCCCGCAGCACCTGCTGAAGCCGCTGATGTTGGCGATGAAATGATAGAGGCTGCAGTTCGTGAGTTGGAGGCAGATGCCATGGGTGAGATGGAAGCAGACAAGAAGCTTTCAGTTCCTAAGGTCACGGGTTTCCCGGCCGAAGGACAGAATGCCGATAAATCGCAGGCTGACAAAGAGGAGGAAGCTCCTCCTGAGGATG